CTGGTCTTTGGCCTGGAGGTTTTGAAACAATTGCTTCTCTTCCATCATCAACATCATTCTCTTCTCCTTCTGCATTTTATTTTTTTTTTGGTACATCACAATCATATTATTATTTAAAAAAAATAATGTTAAAAACGTAATAATTAAACGAATAAAAAATGTGTTATCTCTAAGTAATCTTACCTTTAGAAGATTTTCCACAAGAAACAATGTATACAAACAAATCTTGAATCTTCTTCTTTATATCTATGAAGAAATTAGCCATTTTTTTTCTTTTTCCTTAGCTATCATCTCTCATGGATCAAATGGGATTTATAAGAGAATAATGTTGAAAGGTTCAATATTAATTACTATACTTTTTTATTTAAATTATAATCTAGTTGAGAACGTTACAAGTTGTTAGTTTGTAAATCATTACTCCCCTGTCTCAATTTATATGATACTTTTCGTTTTTCGAAAGTCAAACAGTTTAAGTTTGATCAGAAATTTACGCACGAAATCTTCAATTTTTAAAATGAAATATATATATTTGTAAACTACGTAAAAAGAACTATAAGTTACATTAATTGATAATTCAAAATATTTAAAAGATCTATGAAAAACTTAAGGTCAAATATAGATTTGTTTGAATCTCAAAATTTAAAAAGTGTCACATAAAAATGGGACGGAGGAAGTAATATTTATTATTTATATATACAAGGGCCTATTTATCTTTCCTATGTGCAAGTTGGAATTGAAGATAATTTTTATATTTTAAATTGTATAAAATTCATGTGTGAACGTAGACATATTCTTGAGTACTACCAATTTGATACAATTTGACATATTTTATATTCAACTATATTACAAGAGGGAATAAACACACGTCTGGTCAACATGTCATGTTTGACGTATAAGAAGGTATTATAGGGTGTTTTAGGTACTGCGAAAAGTATTTTTATGAAAAATATTTTTAAAAATAAGTTAATTTCTTATTTATTTACTTACGTAGTTTGATATATAAGAAAAAATTATTATCTTAAATTTTTTTTATATATAATTTAGACAAATATTATTGGAGATTGATATTGGGTAGGGGTTTAGGGTGGAAGGGATGGAGGTTACTGCCGGGATAGAGGTGAAGTCACTTTCAATTACAAGTGGTTATTTTGTATACAGATCAATGAGACTTTTCTTTTGTTTTCTTCCTCTTTTTTCAAATTCATATTATATAATTATATTCGTTGTTATGGCTTCTGACCGAACATTTTCATTATAAAATAACAATACAAACTTGTGAGTATAAATCATTTTTTTAAAAAAATTAAATATTTCTCCTAAAATCTATGACCAAACGCATGGTGAATTACTTACCCAAAATGACTCGTCAAAAAATTTGGAAATTTATAACCAACCGTAATGAGGTGTGTTGAAAGATGAAGAAGATGTAATCAAATGTAATATATCACTTATAAAACTTGTTTCCCTACTTCTCTAAGAAAATCATTTTCGTCATATTTAAGGCACTCGTGATTTCTAGAAAAAATATTTTTCAAAATTTTGTCAACCGAACATGGAGAACTTGAAAAATAATTTATAGAACACACCCTAAATAGGTTTTTGGCTATATGATTTCGGATTCCAATGTCAGATTTGATTTCAAATTTGTTTATGAAATCTGGGGGAAAAAATCAATATTAAATTTCAAATTTTTATTTCAACTCTTTTTTAAGTGTAAAACTTGACCCATAAATTTATATAAAAACTCATTTTAAAATTTTAATTGAACAACTTTTAAATAAAAATTGGGCAAATAGAATTTAATTGAATCCACGGACATCCGCCAGTTAGAATTGATGAAGTTTGTCGGTTCACTAAATTCGATCACATCAATCTATATATATATATATATATATAAAGCTGGATAACAAAAGTCTGACGTGGCACCTCTCTTTGGCCAGGATTACCATTTTATTTTTTTTGTCAATTTTTTGAATTTTTTTAAAATTCTTTTGATCTCTAATATCTGCCAAAAGAAGAAAAAAAATATTTAAAATATTTTCTCTATCTCTCCTCATTATTACTACAATTTATTATTTTTATCTCTCTTCACCATTACTATAATTTATTATTTATCCTTAAATTCCTCTTTTTACCTTCCATTTTTATAATTTTCTACAAATCCCGATTTATTTATCCTTTTTATTATTATAATTTAATATTATACTTTTTATTTCTACAATTTTCTAAAAATAAAATATCTTATTTATCTTTCTTTTACTTATTACCATAAACGTTTTATTTACTATAATTAATGATTTTTCCTTAAATTCCTTTTTTAACATTTTTTTAAAATATAATTTTCTAAAAAATCTAATTTATTTATCCTTTTATTATCATAATTTAATATTATACTTTTTATATCTACAACTTTCTAAAAATAAAATATCTTATTTATCTCTCTTTTACTTATTACCATAAACGTTTTTTCCCCATTAAATTTGACTCAATCAATTTCATTTAATTTGTTGCCACACAAATTAGCAGAAAATTAAAAATATTTTTTTATTTCATCCCTAATGCTATTAATTAATTGATTTACGTAAGACCCTTCCTCTTCCTTCTCGCATATCTCTTCCATTTTATTTTTAAAAAAAACTTTTTAAAATAACTTCAATCACATTTATTTTCTATTAATTGAGTTTTACTAATTAATAATTATAATTTCAAATCGGTTACAAACCTTTTTACCTTCCATTCTTCTTTATATTTTCATAAAATTCTCATAATTTTGTAGCTTCTCATTTTTACCAAAAACTCATTTACAAGTTTATTCTTTTTAATTTTACACTTTTTCTTTTGAGTTGCGGAAGCTTGAATTTTCTTGTGACAAGAATGGAGGAAAATGATGTGCTAATTTTTTGAGGAAGCCATGATTTAAAGGTGTATTTGTAACTTCTTTTTCTTTTGTTATCATATTGTTTATGCTCTCTTATTTTTTCTTTTTTCTTGATTTATTGTGATTTTAACCTTTTAAAGACTTCATGTATTCTATTAGAATATTTCAATATGAATCAAGAATCAAGAATTTAGAATACTTGAAAAAAATCATGAGATATTCAATTTCATTTTTCATTTTTCAAAATGAAGTGTATATGGTGATGGACCTTCACTATTCGAAAAATAAGAATAGCATGATGTAGTTCTAATTTAGATTCCTATAATTGCTATTCTTTCTAATGTCATGTTCTAATGACATAATGTAAGTTTTGTAATGTCATGTGCAATTAGTCTAGGGCCTAGGTGATCTTCTTGGAGGATACTGTCTCTCACAATGGAAAGAGAAGTGTGTTGTTTGTAGAGGACTAATGATATAGCACACTGTCGTCATATATGTGAGTATGATTTAATATGTGCAATATTTTTTTATGTTTTCATAATGAAAACCACAAGGTTCATGTTTTTCTTTTTGTACAGGTGATCATGGCTGCCGCGATTGTGGAGATGTATCTGCGTAAGAAATTTTGTTTCAAGCATAAAGACGGAGGAGCATATACAACCTCTTCCGAAAGAGTGTGCCAATTAATTTGCTAGGTCATGTTCTTAATTTCTTGCTATCTTGTTGGAGAAAAGGGATCTTTGAGCAAAGTCCAACACTAAATTATATTATTATTTAAGTCTTTGTAAGATTTTATTTTAATTTTTGAAATTTTACATCTTATTCTTTTGGAGTTGTTCCCTAATTTAATTAGATGAATAAGTTTTAGTTTCTATCTCTATAAAGCTATATATAATAATTAAAGTTAGGCACAGACAATAAGATGTGCACTTTTCTATGGCCAATAAATCTATTTATCTTTTTTCTTCTTTATTTGAATTTTTTCTTTTCATAGTTTAATTTATTGTTGCAATTTTTTAAAAAAGGCAATGTAAAAGTATGAAGGCAATGAAGAGGTATAAAGGAAAAGAGGATAAGGAAAATAAACATTCACATTTGTTCAATTTGTTAGTCAATAGTCACAATTCACAATATTAAAGACTTCATTTTATCTTTCCTATAATTGATTCTCAATTATAAGAACTTAAATTAATTTGATATTACTTCTAATCTAATAAATTAGCCTACTATGTTGTTATGAGTTTATCAATTTTTTGGCTAACCTTTTCATATTACATTAATGAAATGACACACCTTTTCATATTGTGTTTTGATGAAGGATAAACGAATTTCTACATACTCCATCATTCACCATATTTTTTTATTCAAATACTAAAACAGAATGAACTTGCATTATGTTCAAGTGCAATCATGGCTATCATTACTACTCATAGCAAGGCAAACTTAGATGGGTCGGACATGGGCTTAATTTGTTTGGGTTAATATAGTAAGAGGGTCGGACATGGGTTAAGATAGTTAGAGGATCAAACATGGGTTAAAATTGGATGATATGTTATTTTTAAAGAAAAATGGGTAATTTTACTTGATTTGGAGGTTTTCATCCAATTGAAGAATACAAATAATAAATTTGTAGATGGCGGAGTTATGGATGGTTGCATAGTATAACATAGGGTAAAGTTAGCTATTAAACAAAAGTTGATGAGTATTGTTTACCCTTCTCCCTACAATTAAACCAAAAGATAAAGACAAGATTGGACAATATAATATAGTGGAATATATAATTAATCGGAAAGAAAATTGATTCTAACACATATATCTTAACGCACGCGCGAAGCGCAGCTACGTTCCCTAGTTTTGTATCAATTCTAATAAAAAAATTGAGATCAACTTTCAATTTTTACCCTCGATTTTTTACTTGTTTTTAATAGTGGAAGGCGGACCTATAAACATTAAGAATAAGTCTGACTAACAAGATTAAAATTTAAGAAAATGATAGGAATTTTTAAACCTTCTAATTTTGAACTAAAGAATTTTAAAATCAAATTATTTCTTATGACATTCTTTTTAAAACAGATTAACCATTACAATATTAAAAAATGAGCAAAACAAACAAAGAACCAAGAAGAATTAACCATTACAAATTACAATATTAAAAATGAGAAGAACAAACCAAAAAAAAAAAACCTAGAAAACAACTAGGTTTCTTGAAATAATTATCACAATATTGGAATTCCCAAAGACTTAATTAATTAATTAATTTTAACCCGTCTTAGGTTTAGGAGCTGATCTTTTTCCTGGAGGTGTTGAAAAATTTGCTCTTTCCTCATCATTAGCATTCATCTCCTCCTCTTCTTCTTGGCCTTGTTGAGCAATAATATTTTCTTTTTCTTGATTTTGTGTACTATTTTCTGGTTGTGTTTCTACTACTTGGTCATTTTTTGATGGTTCTGAAAAAATTGAACACATAAATTAAGAAAATGTTATGTTGATGATGTATTTAATTATTAAATAAATAAAAGTGCGTTATTTTTAACCATTCAAACTTTTTGATGATATCATGAAATATAGTGGGCTAACTAAGAAAAAGGAGAAATAAAGTACGCAAAAAAGATTTAAACCTACAAGGACAATACGTTCCCAACCAGAGTAGAAAGTATGACATAATTAAAAATCAAGATAAAAATAATATATGAAATGACCATATACTTCAATATAATTTTAAAACAATAGCATAAAAAGAGCTTGTTGACGATATACTAAAGTAAATACATTATATATGAGATGTTTCCTCGAAAAAATATTCACAATCTAAATCTTTTGATGGGATTGATCATTTCAACACAATAGTGTCTCTATAATGAAAATTGAAGCCTAATCCCTCGCACCTTAGGTCCACAACCTAGATGTTGGCTTTAAAAAAAAAATTATATATATATAAAGTGAACTCAGTCATTAGAAAATAATGTTTCTACCTGACATATTTAAGACTACGAAAAATAAGGTTTAGATGTATTCAACTCTTACCCTTAGAAGATTTTCCATCAGAAACAAGGCTTATGGGTGGATCTTCATTCTTGTTCTTTGTATTTGTATCTTCAATGAACTCAGCCATCTTTTCTTTTCTCCGTAGCTATTATCTCCCTTATATCAAATGAGCTTTATATAAGAGATTAAATATTGAAAGGGTCAATGCATACTTTCTATTTGAAATATGATATAGTTGGAGAATGATACAAGTTGTATAACAAGGGGGCTTATTATATAATTAGTCTTCACATTATTCCTATCTTTCCTATACAATATATTCATATGTGAACGTGGGCGGTTTTGACTGTCAATTTGATATAATGATGACTAATTGATTTATTTTGTTGTTTAAAATATAGGAAAAATTACCTAAATACACAACTTATTTTATTATAGTCTCTAAAAATTTCTATCATTTAAAAAAAAAATCAGAAATTCCCTCTTGGATACATCACTCCCCTCTTATTGATACATCCCTATCTCCCTCTCGAATACATCGCTCCCCTCTCTGATACATCCCTTCCCTCTTGGATACATCACTCCCCATGTCCTATCCTCTATCTGATACATCTCTCCCCTATGCATCTGAATGTCTGTTGATGTATCCGGAAGTCCAGTGATATATCCAGAAGTTCAGTGATGTATTTAGAATCCATAAATTTTAAGATATTCTGTAATTTAAAAAATAAAAAAAATATATAATTAACTCTTAATACTATGAGATTTATGTAAATTATATTGAAATATAAGCTATATTTGAAAACGTTACAAGTTGTTTGTTAGTAAATCATTATTTTATGCAAGAGGCCTATTTGATTCCTTCTTATCTTTTTACTTCTATATGCGCAAGTTGGAAATGATGATAATTCCACAGTGGTCCTATTTGATTCCTTCTTTTAACTTTCTTATATGCGCAAGTTGGAAAGGAAGATATATTTTTTTTAATTGTATAAGATTCATGTATGAACATAAATATATTCACTAACATGAGTTGTGGTATAGTAGTGAGACTATTTCATCATTAATTAGAAATTTCAGATTTAAGTCCTAAATATGGAATCTTGTTGGAAGCGTTACCCCTTGAATGAACCTTGAAATACGTGATCCAAATTTAATTAAAATTCCAATACAAAATAAAGACACCGAGTAAGAAAAAAAAGAATATATTCTTGAGTATTACCCATTTGATAAAGGTTGATCAATTAATTATGTTATTCTATTCAACTATCTTACTAGAGGGAATAAACACACGTCAGGTCAACACGTCTGCTTGACAATTTTGCCGCCTTGCTTAATACCAATTTTGCCAAATAACAAATGAATTCGAGAACATTAATTCTGTTCAATATTTTCGTTTTTATTTAACTGGGAAATATTTGGGAATATGATCATTATGTATACACTTACATACTACATAATTTTTTGTCTCACATTAATGAACACTTATACAAAATTATGATCTAGAGTGTTGAAGAAATCTTAAGGATGTATATACCAATTTAGTACCAATTTAGTGGTAGAGTCAGAATTTTTAATAAGAGGATTCAAAATCTGAGAAGTAAACACACGAATTAGTGGAAGGGAGTTTGACATCTGTTATACATACCTAAAAAAATAATTTTAACCATGTATAAATAGTACGAAAGAGGTTCGGAAGAACTCCCTAAATATGTTGGTTCCGCCACTGTATACCATAATGTACTTTAATTTAGATAAGGATGGGTCAAAAATGTCTTTAAACTATGTGAAATAAACAAAAATGTCCTTTGTATATAGTTTGGTTAAAAAATATTCTTACTGTCAATACTTTGGTCCAAAAATGTCATTATTACTTAATGGGTTAAAAATGTCCTTTTTCAAATAAACATATTATTTATTGTATAAATTATAGGAACCACATGTTATAAGTACTAAATAACATCTTATCCCTTCTAGTTTTCTATTTACCAAAAATCTCTTAAAAATGATGTTTGCGGGACACATAGCGTTGTACACGGGATACATTAGGTTTGATACATTCCACATAGCGGGATACATAGCGTTGTGCACGGGATACATTAGGTTTGATACATTCCACATAGCGGGATACATAGCATTGTGCACGGGATACATATTGTTGTGCATGGGATACATACCGTTTGATACATTTCACATAGCGGGATACATAGCGTTGTGCACAGGATACATGCGGGAAACATAGGTAAATAAGGGATTTTTGAAATTTTTGAAATAAGTAGGGATAAATGGATATTAAAGTAAGTAAAAGAGTGTAGTTAAGTAATTTGTCCTTATTTATTTCCTTTTTAAACACATTCTTTTCCTAATAATATTTTTTTGTTAGGAAATGTTTATCCTACTTCAAATTAAAAAAAAGATCATTTTATTATAATTTTGTTATCGTTATCTAAATGAAAATCAAAGATGAGTTTACTATTATCTTATATATATGACATATTTTATCCATTAAAAGGGTACCTGAAGTTATTTATTTTAATGAGATAAGGCACAAGTACCCCCTAGAGTATGAACGAAATCTCAAAGATACACCTTAACTAAACTAAGGTACTATTACCCTCCCCCCCCCAAAAAAAACTGATTTTTTAATAATTTTTTATTGAGACAGAGGTGAATATGAGGTGTGTTGGATGGTGGAGAGGACTGTTCAATGCAGAATATTGCTTATGAGATTTGTTTTCCCTATCCTCTAGGAAAATCATTTTCCTCATATTTAAGAAATTTGTGATTCATAGAGGATATATTTTTCAAAAATTTTGATCAACCAAACACGAAAAACTAAAATTTTTTTTTATGAAAAATGTTATCCATAGAACACACCCAGGTGAATGACTAAAGGATTTGAAAACCAATTTGAGGTGCTTTAAAATAAAAAACAACTTTTAAATAAAAACTGAACAAATTAAAGTGAACCGACAAACGTCTCTCGATTATAATTGACGAAGTCTATCGTTTCACTAAATTTAATCTACACTAAGGGTGTGTTTGGTATGAAGGGAAATATTTTTCGAAAAATGTTTTCCAATTTTCTCATGTTTGGTTGGGTAAAAATGTTTTGGAAAATATTTTTCAAATCAACTCATTTTTCTCAAATTTAAGGAAAATGACTTCCATTCAAAACTTAAGGAAAACATTTTCCAAAACTCTCTTTCAACTTCAAATTATAATTTTTTTTATTGAAAAAATCAATTTATTTTTTCCCTATTCTCAAACCAACCCCCCAACCACCCCCACCCCCACCCCCAAAAAAATAATTTTAAAGTTTGTTTTAAAAAAGTGGTCTTAACTTCAAATTTTTTTACCCCATCCTCACCCCCTACCCCCACCCCCCGGCCACCCCACCTACCAGCCCCTCACCCCCAAAAAAAATTGAGTTTGTTTTCAAAAAATATTTTCAACTTCGAAATTTCATTTTTTCACCCCTACCATCGACCCCCACCCACCCCCTACCAGCCACCCCAAACAAATTTTAAGTTTGTTTTTAAAAAATATTTTTAACTTCAAAATTTCATTTTTTTCACCCCTACCCTCAATCCCCCACTCACCCACCCACCCTACCAGCCCCCCCACCCCTCAAAAAAAAAATTGAGTTTGTTTTCAAAAAATATTTTCAACTTCAAAATTTTATTTTTTCACCCCTACTCTCAACCCCCCCCCCCCCCCCCAAAAAAAAGAAATTTAAGTTTGTTTTTAAAATATATTTTCAACTTCAAAAATTTCATTTTTTCACCCCTACCCTCGACTCCCACCCACCCACCCACCCCTACCAGCCCCCCTCCACCCCCCAAAAAAAAATTTAAGTTTGTTTTTTTAAAAAATATTTTCAACTTCAAAATTTCATTTTTTGACCCCTACCCTCGAGCCTCCCCCCTACCAACCCCCCCTCACCCCCCAAAAAAATTCAAGTTTGTTTTAAAAAAATATTTTCAATTTCAAAAATTATTTTCTACTCTAGTAAAAATAAAAGATATTTCTCAAAAACATTTTTCATTCATAAATCAAACACTAAAAATCTTTTCCGAAAAATATTTTCTACTCACCAACCAAACATGAGAAAATAAGTCAAAAATCTACTTGTTTTCTAGGAAAATATTTTCCTTCATACCAAACACACCCTAAACCGACATTATTAAGCTTGTCCATTTTATGTCGATTCTAGTAAAAACCAAAAATTAGATCATCTATCGATTTTCAACATATTTTTAGTAGTAAAAGGAGAAAATAAAGAACTTCTGAGGAGGTATGATTGACCAAGATTAAAATTCAAGAAATTAAAGTGATAAAATTATTAACATTAAGTTATTTTTAGAACAGATTAACAAGTACATCATTAAAGATGATCAAGATTTACAAACAAAAGAACCAAGAAAATAGCTCTTTTTTTTTTCAAAAAAACTAATCACAACATTGGAATTTCATTAATTAATTAACTTCAACCAGTCTTAGGTCTAGGAGCTGATCTTTTTCCTGGAGGTGTTGAAAAATTTGCTCTTTCTTCAGGTATTATAAACCCTTTTGGTAGAGGTTCAAAATCCTCATCATCATCAATCTCTTTTTGTTCTTGTGAATTTCCTTTAGATTTATCAAGTTCTTGGTCTTGTTGAGCAATAATATTTTCTTCTTCTAATTGATTTTCTGCATTATTTATTGGTTGTTTTTCACCTGATGGGAATACTGTTATTATCCCCAAGTCATCTTCTAGTACATGATCTCTTGTTGGTTCTTGGTCATTTCTTGGTGGTTCTGGCAAAATTGAATAAACATATATATTAAAATTATTTCAAGAAAATATTGTGTTGAAGACGTAATTAAATAAATAGAAGTAAGTTATTTTAAATAGTTCGAATTTTAGATGATATTGTGAAAGGTTGTAGGCTAACTAGGAAAACAAGAGGAATAAAGTATGCAAAATAACATTTAAAGAAGTTTAGCCATGCCTACATTGTTAGGGCAGAAACAAAGATTGTATTTCACCTCATTCAATGAGAAAATTGAACACACACACACATATATATATATCCAATTTTTTTCAAGAAAATGTTATGTTGAAGATTTAATTAAGTATTAAGTAAATAGAAAATGTCTTATTATTAACCATTCAAACTTTTAGATGATGTTGTGAAAGAGACAAATAATGCAATAAAAAGATTTAAAGAAGTTCAATCAAGCCTATGTTCTTGGGGGCAAAAATGCAGAGTTTTTCAATTTAGTGAATGAGAGGAATTGTACAAATTATATAAATCACAAGTAGTATCCAAACCCACATTTCTCAATTCTTATTTTTCAATTCACACCTTACTTAAACCCGATAAATATGACATAATTAGAAATCAAAATACAAAACAAATGAATTGTTGATAAAATATCTTTATTATCTTAAAAAGTATAAGAATATTATTTGAAATTATTTATTACATACTATTACCTTAATTACTTTAGCTTACTAATATTATATATTAAGGATTTTAATTGTGTAGCAACGTTTTGATTTTCTTAATATGGCAGTGGTTAATTGCCTTTATGGCATTAATCAATTACTATTTGATTTGGGAGTTACAAAAATCCTATAGAATATTTGGTGGTATTTGATAGACTTTATGACAATAATTTTGTTTTAATGTATAGTATGCACGGCTATATATATTTGGTAGTATGTTATAAGCCTTTATGGCATATTGACAGTTACTTTTTATTAGTTGTGCACATGGCTGATGGTATGGTATTTACCATATACTTATATATCTATATATAGTACGTTTATGTGTAAAAAGGAATAAGAAAGATTATATTAAAAAACTTTTCTTCCTAATTTATTTGCTCGATTTCTTATATTCTTTGTTAGATTCTGGCTCTTAGTTTTAGTACTAGAAGAGCTTGTTAAATCTTGGGGGATACACCTTAGCCGGTGAAATATCCTCAAGGACAGTGCCATAGGCACGCCTCAAGCTACGAGACTTCCGTGATTTCTAATAGTTTTCCAATATGAATGACCACACACTTCAATATGATTTCAAAGTGAATATAAGAGGCAAGGACAGACACAGAGGGGTGTAAAGGGGTCCAACTGAACCATTTTCATTAAAATATTATACTTCGAAAATTGGATAAAATAAACTTCTTTTTAATAATATAAATGTTGAAACTTTTCGATGAGATTGATCATGTCAATAACACAAAACAACTCAATAGTGTCTCTATAATTAAAAAAATGATACAAGAAAAAATGAGTGAAATTTTTTAGACATATATGTAAGACATGCTTCAACTCTTACCTTTAGAAAATCTTATTGGTGTTATAATTGTTGCTAGACCAACTTGGTCTTCTTCTGGTAAATGTATTTGTAGCCCCAACTTATCTCCTAATGGTACATCTCTTGCTGTTCCTTGGTCATTTCTTGATAGTTCTGAAAAAATTGAACACATTCAAATTATGATTTCAAGAAATAATTCAATATCAAAGACGTAATTAAGTAAATTGAAAGTTTATCATCTTTTAATAATTTAAATTTTTAGATGATGTTGTGAAAAACTTCACGAGTTAAGAAAGTCTCGTTGAAAGCAGGAACTCAAACTGTGACGACTATTTTCACTAGTTTCAAAGGCTTGATTGACCCTTGGGATTGAATCTGGCTAGGGGGTGCCCTCGTAAAGACTAAAACCTCGTTACGCCGAAAATAGTAGAGGTGCGACAGCGCTTTGATAGTGAGTGCACACAATTATATAAAAAGAAGAAATAACATAAGAAGACATAATTAACTGATGAAATGGTCACACATTTTAACATGATATTATAGTATTAGATATAGACACCATAAGTTTGAGCTCATCGCCAAGCACCAATTGGCTCTTGAAAAAAATCAGGGTTTCGCAAGTCGCAAAGGGATGCATTAAAGGCATATTTAAGTTATAAAAGTTAATGTGTTCTTTCTACCCGCTTAAACTTTTAGATTTAGATGAGATGGATAACTTCAAGAGAATAGTGTTTCTATAATGAAAATTAAGAGGGTTTTTTTTCTAGACATTAAAGACAATTATTCTTCAAGTCTTACCATTAGAAGATTTTCCACAAGAAACAATGTATATGAAGAGATCTTGAATCTTGATCTTTGCATCTTGGAAGAAATTGGCCATCTTTCTTTCTTTAATTTCTAGTTATTTTTTTCCAAGTTGCAATGGATGGAAATGAGTTTTAATTTATTGGGAAATTAAATGTTGGAGGGTTCAATAATTACATTTTATTAAAGTAGACCTTGAGACCCATGTGAGAAATTAAATTATTAATTTCGAGACGTGGTAGATGCTACTTGTTTCTATAATATTCACATAATAATTGATGTATTTCTTTCCAATAAGATTTATAGTTAGAACTATGTTGATTTTTTTAAAATTGGAAATGGAGTTGCCCTACCTAATCAATTATCTTAACTTCTTTCCAATTCAATTGAAAATTATTCATGTGATGTTTGATGTATTGTAGTATGTGTATACTTTTAATAATGTGAGGTATTTTGGGGAAAATTATGTTGGTTTGATCCAAAATGGATTCTTGTAAGATCACACATTATATAAAGAGAGTATTTTAAAGCTATTTTAAGTCAACAACTAATATATAATAACGACAATGTTTAGTAAGACATGAATGGAAAGATGACATGTGGCCCAGTCTATTATCTTTGTCCATCGAATTTTGAAAAAGAGTTTATTTATATCATTTGTTAAAAGCTGGCTTTTATTTGAGAAAAAGACTTATTTATGTCAATTATTTGTTAAGTGAAATGACATAGAAGAATTAAACTTTTGATGAATGACATAGATAAACTTTTTTTTTCAAAATTCAATGGCATATTAGAACTTTTTAATTTTTAAAAGTTATTTAATTAATAACATGGCTAAATTATAATTGTTTTTTCATATTTTTTATTAATCAATTACTCATTTTCGGGATTTACCGAAAAAAAATAAAAATTTTAAAATTGAAATTGTTGAATTTAAGGTTACAATATTTATTTGTGAATTTTTGGCGTTAATTTTTATAGTTTTTTCATATTTTTCCTATTTTTTATTAATCAATTACTCATTTTCGGGATTTACCCAAAAAAATAAAAATTTAAACAAAATTGTTGAAAACGGGTCGGGTAGTTTATTTAAAAGGGGGGTTGATTTATGGGTCGGATTAGGTGTTTATGGTTTCGAATTTTTTAGGAACATAATTGATCCCTTTTCATTTTCATATAAATGTCATGTGGTAAAGTCAAAATGACATGACAATTCCATGTGACATTTAAAGAAATGGAAAATGAGCTGGACATATCCAGCAGGCCAACTAACGCCCAGAAGAGCATATCCAGACGAAAAGTTGGACGGCGAAGACACGAGTGAGTCAAACTTTAAACGAAGGGTATATCCAAACCTCTTCGAATAGTTTAGGGTCATATTTGACTCTTTACCCTTTATTTTATTTGACCAATATTAATTTAACGGTACTTAATTCCTCTGAGAAAGTATTCATTAGAGGTTTGATGTACTTATGAAGTTAATTAATGATAAGAATAATATTGAAAGAAAATAATAAATTTGTCTCAAATTTTTAAAATGGACAGATAATTTTTAAATTTTAATTTAGTATTATTATTGAATAATATGAAACAGAATAAATATACATATAACAAACATAAAATTTTAAATTTTAAATCTGTCAAATAATCACACCACGCTCATCCAAACCGACCTTTAAAACTGACCGAAAAGCAAAGTCGGGCCCTTCCTTTCGATCTAAGCCAACACACAAGTTGTATTATTACACATTTTTCCACATCATATTGATAAAGTAAACTAAAAGTGAAAATAAAATAACACACAAAGAAAATTAAAAAGGAACCAAGACATGAACAACAATAGTACTTTCTGCCAAGTCGATTTCAATACTAAGTAAGCATCTTATCGTATAAGTAAGAAAATTCAACCACTTAACTGTAAGGACAGAGACGGTTAGAATTTTCAAAAGTTGTATTTATAATTATATTATTTCAACCAATAGTAGGGCCAGGTCGTTTGCCAGGAGGTGTTGGCTGTTTTGCTCTTTCAACTACGTGCACCAACTTCTCATCTTCTACTTCTTTTGCTTCATCTTGTTCATCATTTGTAACTACTAGCCCTTGTCCTTGTTCTTTTTCTGATGATTCTGGCAAAAAATGATAACATATATTTATTTTCACATTATTTTGCGATTTTTTTTAAAAAAAATATCTGATATTCAGAATTTACTGGTTTGGTTAGAGTTCAAATTTGTATGTTAGAGGGTTAGTTTAAGAAAAATGAGTTATATGAATTTTATTTTTGATCAAAATTCTGGAGTTTCAAATTTGACATGTGAAATTTCAGGATACTATCATAAATTTTATATGTGGAAATTTAAACTCCAGGACAAGGGCAATTTCTCAAAAACCTTGACCTCTGATTTATTAGAATAGAAAAATTTCATTGATCCAACAACATCCATCGATCTGCGGTAATATGAATCAAGAAAATCAAGAAACATCATAGAAATTGAAATTCTAAAACAATTATTATTATTTTTAAAAAAAATACAAGGTTGAAAAAGTGGCATTTGATGCGTTTTGTTTTTTAAAAATAAAAATAAAAATTGGGACTCAAAATTGTATGATTAGTCCAAATTGTGTCTTAGAGCCTAGAGGGTTCACTTAAGGAACAAGGGCTACCTACAAAGGTTTTTTTTTTCGCCCAAAAAGTGACTAATAACCATTTTTCAATTGTTGTAATTTAATAAATAGCCAAATAAAAGTTCTGAAATTTCAATTTCTACGAGTGAAACTCTAGTTATCATTAGATTTTACTCGTCGAATTTGAAACTTCAAAACAATGACTATTTTTTAAAAAACAAGGTTAAAAAGTCAACATTTGATGCTATTTTTGCAAAATTATTTAATTTTGAACACGACAAGATCTCTGATTTAATAGAATAGAAAATTTTCATTCATACAATAACACCCATTGATCTGTGGTAATATGATTATATGAATCATGAAAATCAAGAAACAATATAGTGCTTAACATTTATATATACAAAATATATAGATTTTTATTGTTACATACCTTTAGCAGGTTCTTCACTTGGAGTAATAGGCTTAGTCAACAGATCTTGAATTTCATTCTTCATATCTTCAGCCATTTTTTTTCTTTTAGGTAGCTTTTGCACAAGGCTCAATTGAGCTTTATATTAGATGTTTAGTTTATAAAATTTAAATACTTTTTTAAAAAATAAAATAAAATAAAATACAGTAGAGGACCATGTGGTTAGCATTTATAAAAATAATCAGATGGCGTGCACATGATTATACATATTCCACTGGGCCACTTGATCAATAAAGGCATGAAGATGCCTTTTTATAAATTGTATTTTTTTTGGTAAAAAAATAAATTAATTAAAATCTCCTATTTATTCTAGGTGAAAAAAAAACTTTGGTTGACTATACTATTTCTAACATATTTTATTGTCATTTTGAAATTAGAATATCCATCTTTCAGATTGATATTAGAAACAAAACAAATTCATGTATGTCTAATCTAAGTCAAATTCATATACTTCATTTAGTTCAATTTATTTGTCTTAATTACTATTTACTATTTAGACAGTTAAAAAATACTTTTTATCATAAATTTTTATATTCTATTCAAGTCTAAAAACGGCTGAGAAATGATATATAAACCACCACCACCACTCCCCCTTCCCCACCCAAAATTAAAAAAATGTTAGTCTGATATAGAAATAAAACTTATTTGAAATATAATGTTATCAATGCTTAAAAATATGATTTTCAGTGTTTAGATACATGTAGAGTTGTGGTAGTGGTGTGAGAATAAGGAATATGAAAAATGGAAGTAGGGTTTAATGTTTGGTGAAAAATCACTATTAGAGTGCCAACAAATAAAGTAAATAATCATTTCACATGGGCAATGCATTAATAAAGTTCCAACCAACAAATAAAATAACCCTACCCCCTCTTCAAGTCTACAACTACAACACATGAGGATTTTAATATCAACAGAGTAAAATATTACATAATCTTTCGTTATGCACTACAATTACAGGATTTTATGATAAATTTGTATTTATAATTAACATTACTCTATATAAATGCCACAAAAGATTTTAATGACTTTAAATATAATGACTTTAGTTCAATTGTTACTAAAGTGACATCCTTACAACATATGCATTCTCAAACATTGTTCTAAGGATGTAACTGATTGTATAACCACAACTCTTCCTCATACATCTCTAATCACCACACCCAATTTATGTGGACTCTTACACGATCATATGATTTGTTTAAACTTATTTAATTGGATAAATTTCAAAAATATAATTTATTAGTAATTAATTATTGTCTTTTTTAAATTCTACTAGTTTTGGTCTATATATAAGTGTCATATTCTAGTAGATGCAGTATCGACAATACTTTAACATAGATATAAATCTGAATATACCTTACTAATGTCAGAGTGTAAATCTCATTGATCATACATACACCACACACATAGAGATGCATCGATTGTATAAGGGGTTTATATATTTTGATAACCAGTAAACATTTCGATATACAAAATTTACAATGGTAATAAAAGTTCAAATACTACTTTTCAATGGTAACATTTGATTATTTTTTTGTATAAAAGGAAGGCAATCCCTCATAAACAACTTAAACCCTCATAAACAACTCAAACAACTCTATTTTTACTACTCCCTCCGTCCATTTTTAGTTGTCCACTTTAGAAATGACACACAGATTAAGGCAACAATGATTAGCACAGTGAAGTTACAATTTTACCCTTATGACAACTTTTCACTTCAAAATTACAACCACTTATTTGAATTCAAGTAAAATAAATTGGAGGGAAACAACATACACTTTTACAATTTTCAAGAAGTGTAAATAAGGGTATAATAGGAAAAAATTTATTGTCCTTTCTTGATTTGTCAAAATGGACAACTAAATAGGGACAACCAAAAAAGGAAATATGGACAAGTAAATAGGGACGGAGGGAGTATGTCTCAAGCATCTCAAACATCCAATGCAAAAAAAGTCTTACAATTGCCATTGTGGTAATCCAACTACATTGAGGACGTCACACACCGATACAAATTCAGATCAATAATTCTTTAATTGTGCAGTTGGAATATGCTCTTTTTTTAGGTGGCTTGAAAATGAATCATCAACGAGTAGCCCATCGAATTTTCAAGGCGTTGCGCGCCAAATTTGAAATATTAAAAAAGCTATGGAAATTCGAAGAAAATAGGGATCTGCTAATGACTTTCTTAAAAGAAGCCGAAGAGCAGAGGAATCACTTGAAAGTGTTGCTAAAAGATGTTGAAATAGATAGAGATAAACTAAAAGAAAGGTTGATTTTGGCAGAAGAAAAAGAAAAATGCCTAAAAACTATATTGTGTGGTTTATTTTTGGTGTTTGCTTTTTGAAAATCATGTGTAACAAATGTGTAACAGGAATGTAGTGCTGAGTAAATAAAGTATTTCTCTATTTATTGCACTCTTATCTCTTTTATTTTTGATCGATAATGTTATAGTTCAACAGTGACAGCAATCTATAGTATTAGACATACAATTTTAATGGCGGTAATTGACTACTAAATAGATCAACAGTGATAGCAAAAATCACATACTATTAAAAGATAGATTAATAAAAAATCTAAAAATCATTACATGTTAAACTATCAGATGTACATTTTTCTCGTCAAAAACAGCAAAACAACAAACCACTTTAACCATGTTCTTAAAAACCAACTATTTCAAAAACTAATTGTCTTAAAAAATTAACTATCTCAAAAAGCAATTGTCTTCAAAACTAGGAAAATCCCAACTATCACATGAATCAATTGTCTTCAAAAATCAATTATTTCAAAAACTCTCTTAAAACATCAATAACCACAAATATCTTACTCATCGCCACCAACCTCACCATTAAGCTCCATCACAATACCCATCACGTCAACTTCTTTTTCCACTTCTGCCACATCAGTGGCCAAGCCTTCTTCTTCCAATTTTTCCTTTTCTTCATTCTCTGTTATCTTCTCCTCTTGTTGTTCTTTCTCTTCTTCTCCACTTGCTTCAGTTTCTTCATTTTTCTTCTCTTCCAGCTTCTTGTCTTCACTTTCTTCTTCTTTCTTTTCTTCTAGCTTCTCCTCTTATTTTTTTTTCATCATTCTCCTCCAGCTTCTCTTCTTCTTTTTTTCTATCATCTTCTCATCAACTTGTTCTTTCTCTTCTTCTTTCATCTCCTCTTCCTTCATCTTTTCTACAACTTCATCAACTTCTTCAGCAAAGTATTCATCAACTGCAGCAAGATATAATCGACTATAGCTAATGGAAGAATCTCGTCATCAACTGTTGGTGCTGAAAAGTTGGCATCATCTACTGCAAGATCAGTGACTAAGCATTAATACAAATAAATTATTTTACATAAATAATATATAAATTTATCTTCCTTTCTTTTTCTTGTTCTTTTCAATTCTTCTCAATTTCTACTCTCATACATAAGCAACAATTTCCACCATTGATTTCTCGAGGGATAAAACACGCTCACACATATTTTCATCTTTAGAAGTACTTGGTACAGAATTCTCACAAGGTTGATTATGATTAGGGGTGTTCACCGGTCGGTTTGGATCGGTTATTGGTCAAAATCAAAACCAAACCAACTTAATCGGTTTTAAAATGATCAAAACCAAACCAAACCAAATATAATATACATTCATCGGTTTGGTGGTTATCGGTTTCGGTTTGGTTTGGTTCGGTTATTAACCATACACAAAAATAAAAGAAACAATTCATTCAAAATGTGAAAAAAGTGACAACAATCCATTCAAAACGAAAAATAGTTAGAATGACTTAACTACTGAACTTTCAATCACTAAATTTAGTAAACAATAAACCTTTAAAATTCACTATATTGGCTTAGAAGGAAGAGACAATAACATTTGCAGTCCCACAAAAAATTATCATAGACACTCATATACATGAAATCAATAAGATAAATGTTTTCATCTTGGGAATTTTAGCTTTCAATAAGTAAATTGTATAGAAATTTTAATGAAAATATATATAAGATCTTTAAAGTTGTTTATAAAAATAATATATTAAGTATTTATATTAATAAAATATATGTATATAATTTATCGGTTCGGTTATTTCTTCGGTTTTTTCGAATAAAACCATAATCAAACCAAATACTATCGGTTTTCAAAAATCTGAAACCAAACCAAACCAAACCCAAATAAAATCGGTTTTATTTTATCGGTTTGGTTCGGTTTTTCGGTTTGGATCGGTTTTTATCCAAACCGTGAACACCCCTAATTACGATCGTGATCACTTAAATACCCATCCTCCACATTCTCTATTATTGAAGTAAGGACAGTCACACCTTTCAAATTTGCCTTTAAGGCATTGAAGAATGTATCCTTCACTTCATCCATATATGGTTTTAATGTTGCCAAGTAATTCTTTTTTGTCTCACGGACTGTAGGTGTGAGGTATGGGTGCACAATCTACGAAAAATAATATATACAAATATTACATGACATTCACCAATTTATAAATAATGCTAAACAATAATAAATAACTTTGTACCTTTGTACTTTTTTCTTTGTACTTAAATGAATCACCTTCGCTAATATAATCATTTTTTGCGGTGTGCCATCTAAGTAAATGGGGAATGAGCAAAGGAGAATCTAAGGACTTCTTGGCATACTTTTCAAGATGAGGAAGAGCCTCATATATCCAAACTTGAAATTAATAGAAGAACAAATAAATAAACAGAGGCTATAAAATACTACACAAATATATAAGAATTTATCATAAATCAACTACATAATTTATAAGAAGTACCAGAAATGCCCAGGGAAAGCCATACATAGCATACGATGCATTTCCTCTTTCGTTAAACACTCACTCTGCTTCTTCAAATTGATTTTATTCTTCAGAGACGTCAATGTTAATTAAAACTCTCTTTCCCCACGGATAGTTATTGAAGAAATCTAAATCATCCACCATCTTAATGTGGATTGAATCCACAATTTTAGATCGATCATGGGCAAACAACATCGTGTGGATGAACAAAACCAAAGAGCACTTCAACTTCTGCTCCTTGTTCAACTTGGAACCCTTGATCAAACGCATCAACTTTGTAGCAGTAATGTTCTTATTCTTAGTCACCTTGTAGTAAAATTTCTCTCCCTTTTGAATAACTTTCTTCAATTTTGCATCACGGGGATATGTCGAGCAATCCAGTCCCATAATTAATGCAAATTCTCTTAAGCTAAAATAAGTAGGCTTATCATTCACACAGAACCAAATTTCATATAATTTTTTGTCACTTTTCACACGTCGCAACAACATATAATGGACCATATGTCCATTGAACTTGAAATGTTATGGAATATGCCTCAAGTGTCCAAAACAAGTACCTTTAAAATCTTCATAAATTTTTTCTTGAACTAGAAGATTTATTAAATCACGATAAACAGCTAGCCATTCTTGCTCTAACAGAAATTTTTGCTGGAAACGATCCTATCTCATCTATCCATGTCTTTAAATCATACGACTTACTAGAAATGTCTCTTGCACAAATTGACAAAGACAGGGGATCTTCATCCTCATCACCTGTTTGGGTATCTTTACAACTCTCATCTTCACTGTCACTTTTATCATTACTAGATTCAGCATTATCACTAGACTGGGCACTACTGTCCTGGTAATTGTCAATCTCGGCCATTGTATCAGAATCAGAGTTTGACTCATGTTCTTCCACAACAATTTTTTTCTTTTTGAAGCTTTTGAAACTTCTTCAGCCTTTCTTTTCTTATTTTTAGAAGAATTAGGACTAGATCGCTTAATGATGCCGCCTCTAGTTTTAGTCATACTATACTATAGACAAGCAAAAATAAATTTGTTATATCAAAATATCGATCACTAGTCTATTAGCACAATCAAAGCTTACATTAAAAATACATGCAAAAGAAGTAGCAGTTCAAACAAAAATCAACAGTAAAATCACAAATATAAAACTTTAAAATCGATCAAAATACAGTAAACGTTTTCAAATCGCTAATATAAAATTTTTAAAAAATTTATATGCATTATTCAAACCAAAACGACATTAACGATGCCGAATCAGAAACATAAACTAAAAAGGGTCAGATTTTTAAAAGTTTAAGCAAAAATCTAAACTTCACTACACTACTGCAATTAAATAATAAATCAAATAGGACTAAAAGTTACTGAAAATACGATTAAACTTACCTGAGAGGAAGAAGATTGAACAAGATTCAACTGAACTTGGGGAAGAAGATTGAACAAAATAGACCCGATTCACTTCGTTTGAAATCTTCAGGAACTATTATGGGAACTTACGTTTGTTTATGGTTTCAAGAATAGAAAACTGAAAAGGTTGATTCTTGGAGAAATGTGTTTATTATGATATCGATAAAGTTGGTATATGAAAGATCAAAAGCCACATTAGAGAACAAAGTTGTGAGGTTTAATCGAAAAAATGGTTTTCTGATAACCCAATATATTAAAAAAATTATATTGGGATTGTAATATATTTTTAGAGGGATTAAATTTATTTAATATTTGAAGTGTTGGAAAGAAAATGATTTTTTAAAACTTGTATTTTATCCCCAAGTTTTTAAAGTGTTAAAAAGGTCCTGACCCCACAAGCCAACCCCACTTTTTAACTTTTTCTTAAAGTAGCCCTACAAAATAAATAAAAAATAAATAGGATGTCAATGGACTAAATTAAGTTATATTGATGGGTACAACACCAATCTTCTCTAGTATTTGGGTAGGGTAAGTTGAAAAATTGGGTGGGTAAATTTATTTAACAAGTCAGAGTGTAAAATTGGACCAATAATAAAATACCATATGAAATCAAAACATTTTTTTTTAATTCAATGTTGAGCGCTAGTCATTGGGCAAGTAAACAAAAAATGCAACCTGATCCGTAGGAATGGCAATAGGGCGGGGCGAATGTGGCACGGAGCAGGTTTAAAGCTATGCGAGGCGGAGGAGTTTTAAGTTTGTGCAACAAGTTGAAGTGGGTCTTTTAAAAACTTATGTGGGGCGGGGTAAGTTGAGGTGAGTTTTCTAAAATCTAATGTTGGGCGGGAGGGTTGCGGGTCTATGTGATTTTATGTGGATTTAAACATAATTTTATTTCTACATTGTATAAAAATAATAGAACGTTATTTAATAAGATAATTTCTTTGAAGTTACTAAAATATTTCACATAGTAAATGGAAATGGTTCAATCAAAACTAATATGGTTTATAACATGCTTCACAATTGACCTCTATAAAATAAAATTTTAAGTCGTTATCTATTAAATTAATACAACTTAATGAGAAAATGAATTTAATTTTATGAATTTCATTTTTAGTATCAAACTTCATTTAAAAAAGAAAATGTTTAAAAAATTATGCGAGACGGGATGGAGCGGGTTGAAAATGAAAAAAATTGTTATGCAGAATGTGAAGCCGAACGAATTAATAATTTTGCGGGTTAAGCTCAATCCACCCTGCAACGCTTCATTGCCATCTCTACTCATCCTTATTTTTAACAAAATAAATCGATGAAATTATATTTAGACGTTTTGCGATAAAGAAAAAAACTTTTTATCCTTTTCTATTTAAGCTAGTTAAAAGTGGTAACTAGTGGATGCCTTTTGCTATGAGAGTACAATATGCTTCTCAATTGTTTGTGCAGATAGTGATAGTACAACACCACATTCCACATGGTTACGGTAAAATCTTTGTCAGTCTACTATTTTCTCGTTCTAATTTATATTACTAATTTCTTTTTTTTAGGTTGTCTGAACAAATTATACATTTCTAACAATTTGACTTAAAAATTATATTTTACCATTAATAAAATAATTTATAATCACATAAATATCTATTTTTTATTTTATCCGTCACCATTTAAACGAGTTAAACGTGGTAACTAGTTGATGCCTTTTGCTATGTGAGTACAATAATGCTTCTCAATTATTTGTACAAACAATGATTGTACAACACCACAGTCCACATGGTTACAGTAAAAAAATTGTGAAGCCATCTTCAATTTTACACTCTATTTTACTCTCTAAAAACATAGTTCTTTATTTGTTTAGACAATCAACTTCAATTCAATTCTCTATTTTACTCTCCAAATATAAAATTATTTATTTTTCAGACAATCAACTTCAACCAAATTCTCTATTTTACTCTCTGAAAAGAAGTTTTTGTATTTTCTCCTCAATATTATATGGAGTATTATTTATATTTCTATTTCATTTTCTTATTTCATAATATAAATCCGTTCTTTTTTTAAAAAAAAAATCACTATGTATAATTTTCATGTAATATAAAATTATTACTTTTCAAATTCTTTATTTAATATAAAATTATATTTTATTCTAAAATTTTAAAGAACAACTACAAATAGTTGAAAGAAAGAAATAAACAAGCACAACCACAATCACAAGCACAACAATTTTCTAGATCATACACTATTTTTCCCGAATATTGTTAAATTTGAAAACGACCTACCGGGATTATATAATTATTGTTGTGATTTTTAAAATTATTATGTTATGTATTGTATTGTTTGTATTTAAATTTATTATGTCATGTATTGTATTTGTAAAGTAAAATATTCATCTTATCATTTAAATTTTGTGCATTCTTCATAGTGAAAATCAATAATAATCTCAAATTATCTCTTAAAGAGATGGAAATTGATTTTTTTGTTTGAAATATTGTTAATTCGAGATGAAAGTAGTATATATTAAATAATATATATTTAAAATGTTGTATTACATTTGAAAAGAATTACGAATATTAGGAATTTAATTAAAAGTCTTATATGAAAAATTAATATGTTAGTTACAAATAATAGAAATAATATTAAATTAATGAAAAAGTAAAATAGAGAGGATGACCAAATTTGGAACTACTATTCACCTCTCTATAAATAGAGAATAGAGAGTTTTTTAGAGGGTGATTGGAGACTCAATTCTCTATTTTGCACTCCAAATATAGAGAATGTGCAAAATAGAGAATTGAGAGTAAAATAGAGTGAAATTGGAGATGGTCTAAGTCCACTAAAAAAAGTTACATTTCTATATTTAATAATAATCTCAATGTTCCAATTTATATGACTCACTTTCTTTTTGAGTCAGTCTATGAAAGAATAACACACTTCTATATTAAGTAACAATTTAATTTTAAAATACTTATTTTACCATTAATGAAATGATTTATAGCTGTTGTGTCGTAATTTTACTAACCTTTAGAAAAATCACTTTTTGAAATGTTCTAAGTATAAAACAATTTGAGAAAAATACTTAGAAATGAGTCGCCACTTAATTTTTTAAAGAAATTAAGAAAACTTATAATTTTCAAAGATTTAAACAGAAAAATCATTTGAAAATACC